GTCGACGAAATTTTGGAGGATTTTCAAGGGGTTAAATATAAGCATGTTTAAATGTTGATTTCTGGTCCTTATATTCGGATAATATAAAAGTGAATATATACAATTATAGTTCAGTATGGTATCTATAAAAGCAACATATTTTGTTGTAATCGGCACATCAACTTGTAGAAATAAAAACAATTTCCATAGCCTGTGATATGGTGTACCAATTTGGGTACTATTTACGGCCGAAAAACGGACGAAATCTCACTCCGAGTTTAGCGTTCTATTTTCAAAAATAAATTACTTAGATATAAATCTTTTCCTGAAAATGAACCACCATAGGTAGTCTTTGTCAAGAATCAAGAAACATTCCAGATACAAGATCTGAATTTTTAAAGATCACTAAAAAACTGTCAAAATTGTACCAATTGTGGTAGCGTGACGTTACTATTCTGTTACTTATTCGCATTCCATTTGTCTGGTGCTTAGCAAAGAACAATTACCAAAGTATTCCCACACTTATCCTTACTCGCTCTCTCTAACACTTACTTAAATCCATCTCTCCACTCACTCACTTGTTCATTCATGTCCTCAGCTCGTCTATTCCACTCACTCACTTCATCATTTACGCAATCCTTATATCACTAATTCACTCACTTCTTCTATTACGCACCCAAGCATATCCTCAAACACTGATTCACTCAAAACTCATTCACGCAAACATTCCTTTTGTAGCTCAATCATTCACGCCCTCAATCACTTATTCACTCACTCCCCAGTATTCAACTTTCATGTTATATTGTATAGGGGAACAAGACGAGTGTAACAAGGTATTACAGATTTAAGGTTTATAACGAAAACAAATAATCTGATTGATTTTTTGGGGGTAAAATTATATACTGTAGCTGATTTTTTAATCATATGTGGAGTAAATTCAACGCATTTCAAGCGATATTATATGAAATCATTTTTATACAATTTGTTACTTATCATCTTTTTACAATTTGTTACTTATCATTTTTATACAATTTGTTACTTATCATCTTTATACAATTTGTTACTTTTAACGTCAAAAAGAGTCCTAAGTAATCTAGTTATAAACAAATGAATATGTCGCTGTAATATTTTTCTGATATGTTACGGGTCAAAGGTCAACCTCTTTTACGTTAGCATCAAAAGATATAAAAACTGAAAGAGAATTAGTAATAAAAAATTTAGAGCAAAACATTATTTTGTGTAGTTTCATTTTTCAAAATGTTGAAACACATGGTTTTAGGTTCATCATTTCTTACCTGCGCAGTATCACCATTTTAAACAATTGATTGCTGTATAACCAACGTTTTAGTATGTAATGTATATGTTTTATATCTACAAATACATAAAATAAATATCAATATTTAAGAAATATGAAAACGAGATTTAAACGAGACTGCATATAACGAGCCAGCATCAATAATGATGAGAAAAAATAACACTTAACTTCAATAAGGAATTCGCATTTATTTCATATTTTCAGCACGTATTCTTGTTTTCTGTTTAATCTGCAAAGAAATACATTATTTATAAGTCACCAAAATAGCATATTTACTCATATGCTTTCAAATATGTTATATTAACACTTTAATTGAGCGTATTACTTACATGATATTATAATATCTTAAATTACTAATTTGTTATAATGTATAATATGAGATTACAATTTGTTAAATTTATAATACTGAGAACAATATTTAATTATTTACATACCCGGAAGCTACAACATTTTCCCTATTTGGAATTAATCTTGTGCTATAATATACATGAAGGTGGGTCATAAAAACTAACAACCAAAAGATCATGTGAAGTGTATACACTGTATTCTGCAAAATCAAGGTCCAAACGTGATCCAGTGCGGTTTGGCTGCTGATGGTTTGGTGGCGTTGGTGGGTTGTGTGGTAGTCAATGAGGGTTTGGTTAGGGCTGAAGTGGACAAAGTTGTCCCAGCCGTGGTGAGAGTGACTCCGGTAGTACTGCGCGAATCCTTATAATCTGTGATCAATATTTACATGTATAACTCAAGTCTTAGATCTGATTAGTTAAAAGTCAATCATTGATTATATCCTTTCGAATTACTATAAATGGCAGCAGTTTTCAGAAAAACATTTAGCACTCGCTTTCCCAACGGTTCATTGGTTTATTTTCGAATTCAAGTTTGTAAATATGTCTACATAGATATGAGGCAGTGCATCTTACATTTAAGGTAAATATCGAAGCATAAATAAATAGATATTTACAAAAGACAGAATAATAGTATTGATTTAGGTAAGGTTCTCTTTCTAAAAATAAAAATAAATCGTTTACTAACTTACCAAATAACACACAGACACTACGATATATAAGGCAATCTCAGAAATATCATTGCGATGGATTGCAAACTAAAGGGGGACCATGTGATTTCTTTGGAAAGGAACCATTTTAGAATAAGGCTTCTCATTAAATCACCGCAATCTTCGATGAGCTAAAACCATTTAATTTGTTTAAACAACATTTTTGTTTATGCAAATAACCAACCTGAGCAATACGCTATTGGACATCCGGGTGTTGGGTTGAGGTAATATATCATGAACGTGCCACAGTTTTTGACTCCAATGTCAAATTTTGACGAGCAACAGGAGGTATCAAAACCTGCGTTCACACACATCTTCCTTGTCACAGGCCCCTCCGTAGCGCTGGGATGGCTGCCATTCATCCATACAGGAAGAAGCGTGCCGCAGCTGAAGGTTTGGGGACAAGACGTCGGAATAGACGCCGAATATTCAAAGGCATACCAGCCGGGAATAAGTTTGTCGTCGCATATCGGGTTTACTGGTGTATGGTCAGCCGTGTTATAGATACTCCTGGTCTGAGTGTTTGGTAATACGGTAAATGTATTACACAGATTGGATGTACATCCTACATTTAGAAAGAAACAACCATAAGATATAAATGAATTCGAAAGCATAATGCACCTTATACCACGATTCAGGAAATTATATTTCAAAATCACAAATTAAACACACCACTATTACCAAGTTGAACATACCGTACTCCATCGCGAAATTAAACTCTGCCAAGCACACATTTCTCACTACAGTAAGTTAAATACGATAACCTTCTAGATTGCTTCAACCTATAACTAATCTAATGACATCACACCATTGTGGGTTGAAAAGCTATCTAATAAGTTTAAGGATATCATAACACTATAACTAGGATAAACACATCATAATCCATGACGAGATAAAATGCATTGAAAATGTTACAAGGTTAAACATATCACAAAACTACAGAAAGGTTATACAGATTGCAAAACTATAAATTGGTTAAACGCATCATAAAATAAATATATTTAGATTCATAAAACAAGCATAACGCATCATAAAACTATTATCAAGTTATATTAACGCATCAAAAAATTAAAACTAGATTATGCGATCGGAAAAAAACTTTAACAATGCTAAAAACGTCACAAATTATAACCATGTTAAAACATCACAATGTCATCATATCGTTCCGAAACAAAACATTTTACCAGGGTTACAGATATCACAAAATGATTACTAGGTTAAACGCACCATGAAGCTATAGTTAGGCATAATGCGTCATAAAGATATAACTAGATTTAAAAACATGTAAATACATCAATAGGTTAAAACACCACAAATTTATAACTAGGTTAGCCGCATTATACAACTATGGCTAGATTAAAAGCATGGCAAAATGATTAGTGTGTTAAACGTATCACAAAAATGTAATTAGGTTATAGCACAAAAAACTGTGGTCAGGTTAAACGCAGCACAAAACTATAACTGGTCTAACAAACACATTACGAGGTTAAAAGCAGCACAAAAACTATAACTAGTCTAACACATTACGAGGTTAAACGCAGCACAAAACTATAACTAGTCTAACACATTACGAGGTGAAACGCAGCACAAAACTATAACTTGTCTAACACAATACGAGGTTAAATGCAGCACAAAACTATAACTAGTCTAACAAACACTTTACGAGGTTAAATGCAGCACAAAACTATAACTATTCTAACACAATACGAGGTTAAACGCAGCACAAACCTATAACTAGTCTAACACAATACGAGGTTAAATGCAGCACAAAACTATAACTTGTCTAACACAATACGAGGTTAAATGCATCTGAAAATATGATTACGTTAAAGGCGCCATAAACAATAAACTATAAACATACACATTGGAATGCTATAACTAAGTTTAACCCAACGCAAAGCTAAAATAACAATTTGCATACCTTACATCATAATAAAAAAATGCACACTCACTAAATCAATTACATGTGCATCACACACAGGTATCAGGTTACAAATATGCCACATCATCATCATCAAGAAAAACTATTGTCATAACAAAACCAAGTGAACTTATCATAAACCATTATCAAGCTAAACTTATCTTACACAACAATGAAAATAAACACATAACATGTCAAAAACAAGTTCATCACTTAAATGATATCAAGATCAAGATAGAAATTAGCACCCCTTTAATAAGTCAAAGTGAAATTCCAATCTCATTTGTTACCAAACATGGTTAACGGACGCCATCAGCTCAAAATTATGACTGTTTATTGTATCAGAATAAACTCCTCAAAACTACACATTATATAGGGTCAATGTCTCCGATAAGCTTATTAATTCGGCCAAGGACATATGTATACAAAGTCCGTTCTATTTTCCCATTTTTGGTGGAATATGCTCATTAGTACAGTATTTACAACGAGCATACTGCTCTTCCCGAAACGTCTTTGTTTCTTCTCCGGCCGGAGTCTTAATTGATTTACCACTTTGACTTTAGTTACTATACATACGTGTCATGTCTATATATACACATTACCGTGGTGTACACAACCTCACGTGCAGTAGTGCGTCCAATAATCACCGCTCCACAGAGATGACCGGGTATACTGTATACAGGAGTAAGGACTTACAAACCTTTTATTAGGATACAGCAAACAGCAATGAGAGGAAGTCGTGTCATATTCGTGTTAATTGTGATCCAGTTTTCCCTTGTATTGTCGAAATCTTGCTTACGACTGATAAGACTGGCGTGTTTATGAATGTCACTAGAACGAGACAATCGGTATCAGAATCGTGGTTTGACCATACGAACAAGTTTTGATAAAGAAGAGTCTAAACTTCTTGCCCATTATTGTAGTTTTATTTGACAAATAATTGAATTACATTGATACTTGTTTGTGACGATTTACAATGTATCAAGTTCATTTTTTCAGAATCCTATATGATACTTGAACGTTCAATTATCTTTAAACAGATCGGTAGAGTGCCTTGTGTCGTCACCAACCGTCTTATGTTTGTTTATTTTAGTTAGCGTCCGTGTTCTGCAAATGGAGAGTCAGATATGGCAAGCCAAGTTGTAATTTATTCATGGAGCAATGTTGATCCAGTACTTAACCAAATTATATAAGATATCTTATATAATTATATAAGATATCTTATATACTTTATAAGATATCTTATATACTTTCCTTTATAAGATATGTTATATATTATATAAGATATCTCATAAAAGATATAAGATATCTTATGAAAAAAGAGATATCTTATATATTATATAAGATATCTTATATCTTTCATAAGATATCTTATAAAGTATATAAGATATCTTATAAAAGAAATAAGATATCTCATAAACTTTAAATAAGATATCTTATATGTTTATAAGATATCTTATATAATTAATAAGATATCTTTTATAATATATGAGATATCTTATATAATTTGGTTAAGTACTGGATCAACGTTGCTCCATGAATAAATGACAACTTGGCTTGCCATAGTCAGATCATCTTTTTTATACTGTAACTTTCCTAAAGTCCACCTTATTCCGTCTGAAGGCTTCCGTAAGTCCTGTTGATTGAGCTTTGTGAGGTCTTCAGAAATGTTACTGTACTAGTACTTTTCAGCATCCTTCGCGCCTTCTTAATCTTTTGCTTTTACTTTCTGTCCATCTGATGTACATCAAAGGATTAAACTAGTCTTCTTGTCTCATCTACAAGGTGGCGCCCATTGAGCCTTCGATTTCGCTATGACATATTCCAGGGGTGCAGAGGATGGAAGTGAGAGTAACCCCCGGAGTATCGGTGTGTATATAATGTTCACTTTCTATGGAAATCAATGTAGTGGGGGTATTTCATCCGTTCAAACAAATATGTGAATCTAACTTTAGATTTTTGAATGTTTGAATTATATCAGATTTATTTAATTTATTTGCTTATATTCCCAAGCGAGTATATGGTTCAAGGACCCTGGTACCACTGCCTAAACAGTAACTAGGCACTGGAAACCGATGCTGTCGACATGACTATAACCTTGATAAATAGTTTCAGAAAAGAAATCCATATCTTGCGGGACTTCAATGAAAAGTAACAGAGACGAAATAAACCAAACAATTAGCAAAATACTGTTCTGATTGAAAACCAAAAAGTCAGCGGTACTAGACCGGGTTACGGATCCTAGATCACAGGTTGATATACCATCGCCCCAGATCACAGGTTGATATACCTTCGCCCCAGATCACAGGTTGATATGCCATCGCCCCAGATCACAGGTTGATATGCCATCGCCCCAGATCACAGGTTGATATACCATCGCAAACATTGGTAAAATAACAATAACATAGTATAGTAGAAGTAAAGGGAGATAATCACATATATTACTAAAAAAAAAATAAGTAATAATCATCACAGAAAAAGAAAGTATACATATCCCAGGTTTCTAAGTGATTGGGAGTCCCCTACCTACAAAGGCCCCCGGGATATGACCTTTTTGGAACAATAAATATATAAAAATAGTGTTAATATATGAAAAGCATTAAATGTGATCACAGATAAGTTGTATTTAGAATAAGTAAATAAAAGACATAGTTAATAGTGAAAGAATACTTGTATATCACACAAGAATTACTTAGGACTTAGGATTAAAACACTATGAAGTGGAATATACATACAGTGCTAATATAGCAAAGAATAAAAATTGACAGAATATACGCTATTATAGTGTGAATTAAAAATAATACCGAAATCAATTAACAAAATTTATCAACTTTTGTAAAAAAAATATATTTTATAATATTTGGAATCAAAATACAAATAACATGCTGCAAAAATAGAGAATAGAATTAAAACATGTAAGAAATGAAATAAGACAATAAAAGTATCACACAATCCAAAATGTCAGGTGGCAGAGGTAACCAGGGCACAGTATGAAGTATCACTCTTTGCAGATATTGCAAAGGCAGATGGGGCTATCCCAGGAATGGACCAGCTTCCTGAATTCTTTGAATTTTTCAACTTTTCGGAAGTCATTTGGGAGACTGTTCCACAACCGGGCGATATTACAACACTGTCACAATATTACAACACCTTCACAATATTACAACACTGTCACAATATTACAACACTGTCTTTCTGTGTGAGGAATCTTTCATTCGCGTTCATTCCAGCTACACGTAATTTACACATTGTTCCAGACCATTCTGACGTGATGTCATATAAATGTCCAACTGACCACGTCCTTAATTGGTCTCATTTGTTAATAGGACCACGAATTCCGTGATAGGACTTTAAACAAATCAAACCTTCTGACCCCGCCTCATTCAGCCCCGGGCGCCCTACAGGGCATGTATTCGTGAAACCGTTCTCATTCTCACACTCAGATTCTGTTCTCAAGCCCAAATGTCTTGTTTCGATGATTAATTAATAACATGTAAAATTTCTCAATGATTTGGAAGAATTTTTGTGAGACTAAAAACCGAAAACCGTTTTCAATATTCGCATTTGACATTTTAACCATATCAGACGATTCAAGCGAGTTACAATAATGCTGGTTTGAGCACAGAACCCATGCTTGAGCGTGAGAATCGTTTCATGAATACGGCTCCTGGCCTGTCTCAACAGCTCGTTCTCTGTCCCCAAATTAAAGATCCTTCCTTCGAGGGTGTCCATACTTAGCCGCAGCTTGTATTTGACCACATGTACAGCGACAACAGAAATGTATCAAAATAGACAGTGAAAATACATCATGGTGGGGGTATATTCAAAATATTATAAACTTAGCGGATCAAAAGTAAATCGAAATTTAAATTTGATCTAACAGTCTTAATCGAATCGCGAGAGTTGAACGAAAGAAGAACGTCTTAATTAATTAAAATCTTAAAAACCAACACCCTTCAGAGGCAAATATGCATACGGAAATATACCTAGTCCTTCCTCATTACAGGGGTGCAGTCTATTTTACACAACATTGTATTACATTACATTGAATTACATCATAACATTGTATTACATTACATTGTATTACATAACATTGTATTACATTACATTGTATTACATTACATTATTTGGCTTACATTTTATGTACTGGGTGTGGGTTAAGAGGCTCTTAAAAATTCATGGATCAAAACATTACTACATCCCATCTATATTTCACAACAAGATACAAGAAACGTTATTTAACAAGGAACATTAGCTCTTGAGAGCTATTATTGCGACAAGCATATGTAAAATAACAATAACATATTATATTACAAGTAAAGGGAAATAATCACATATATTTATAAAAACCAGAAAGAGAAAGTATCCATATCACAGGTTTCTAAGTGATTGATGGAAAGGATTGGAAACTTGTAGAGGAGACAATGTGTTTAAACTTTATACATTTAGAAAAGAAATATTTAAGATACGGGCATCGTCGTAGTGTGACGTAGGTGTTTATTTCATTGGTGACTTTTTTTGTCAATAATAAGCTGTTGCCATTAGACGAATCCCAGTTAAAATATAATGTGCATGAAAACTATGTGGAGTACTGTGGGGTATCGAATGGGATTCCAAGAGATTGGAAATTATGGAGGCAGCATAGAGCCTGAACACTGTAAACTCTTTACATCTGTTAATGCCCATGAACAAGTGACAAAACAAGGTAGGGTAAGTAAGTTCATGATTTACAACAAGTTTTACTTACATCATGTAGTTTCTATTGATACTTACTTTTGCAGTACTTGTCTTGAAATGTGCACTAACTAAATGTATAGGTCGACAAAAACGTATTATCCATTGTCAAGTCAAGTAAATTTTATTTAAAAGTGGTCCTACATGGCTACAAAAACATGGTACCGCAAGCCTAATCAGGTTTATATAACTGGCTAGTAAAAGACTGATTAGTTTACATAAAAAATCATATAAACTAGTTACACACCTTCAACACACAAACTCAATCCGGGCCACCCCAGGTATTGTTACAGAAGAATTACCTTCTCTCCATGTCATACCAATATCTGTCCCAACGGTTCTTTAAAGGATAAAATGCAGACCAAGTAAGTAAACCGTAATAAGAATTTCATAATCCACTAAAATCTCCAAAGACCAATATCGATTATTATATAAGCTCATCATAAAAACACGTCGTAGTTAATTTAACAGTAAATACATAAATGAAATAATTTGTAAGTTATTGTCATCGTTGTGAGTGTAAACGTAATATAATATTCCGGAACTTTTATCCGGCATCCGCTTCATTGCTAGTCGTTATCATATTATTAGTATTGTAGAGCTCACGGTAAATCGAAGCGTCGTTTACTGTTTACGTTAAATACACCGCCGTAACAGTGATGAAACCTGTTTTTAGAATCGCCCTGAAAAGAGATTTATTTATCATGTGATCCAAGATGTCGTCTACATATTCCTTGCAACAGCGAATGGACGATTTAGAAAAAAGACTTAAATCAGAAAATGACAGAGCTCGGCGGTTAGTTGGACCTAGTGAATTAGGTATCTATACACGAGCCGGAGAATCAGCTAATCCCAGTCCACGGAGACCAAGACAGTGTACGTGTTTAGATGTGATGAGACCAAAACAAAGCTGTCTTGTCGAAAATTGACGTTTCTACCGTTTCTCGGATTACCAGATATTTTGAAAGAATTTATCTTCCGCTGAATGTTTTGTTGGGAATATGATGTGTTTTAGAGAATATGAAATACGTTTATGACATTAGATATTACTGTTTACTTGTCTTTCAGGGAACAAAATCTAAGTAAAGGGTGTCTTTGCCAAATTCTAATTGGTGTTTACCTGCTTAGATCTACTGATGGGTATATGTATATTCTTGGTAGGAGTATCTGTGCAGAGGTTTTAAATGTAATTTTACAGGGATTTCCCCTTAGTTTCACACATTTGGAAAGTACATTGTTCTATATATAACCTGGTGGTCTTTCCAATTTTGAAGGCTTCTTTCCCTTTGTATGTGTATATTAATAATGTTACCTCAGAGCTCAAGTGTATTTATCATTACAAAGGATGTGTTTTACAGGAAAAGAATTTAAGTAGTAATTGTGTTCTTGGAACCAGACAAAGTATTTCACAATTCTTTTCATGGATCTTATATCATTACCAGAAATAATGTTATTAAGCCTTTATTTTTTCCCATGACAAAGTATATACATACACACAGTTCTTGTACATTTATATTAGGTGTGAACATGCTTCATTCAGTCATATCATTAAGACAAGTCAAGTGTACCTTTATATAAGGCCATATATCCATTTTATTTTTCTGTATTATCTGTTTTAATTCATTTCATATTTGGAATGAATATTTTGATTTCACTTTGTTGTTTTCATCATTACCTAAGTTATTATGAACAGGATATAACCTAGATCTATATATTATTTTATAGAGAATAAATGGTATACAGTCAAAATTTCGAACCATGCATGTTTTTTTGCGTTTTTTGATGTGGTAACCATGGTTTTCACATGTCCGAAATCTGGGGAAATCCCTTTTTCAAAAAAGTCAAATTCTTCTAAAAAAATGTATTCAAAATGTAGTTTATGAATATATTTATATGTTGGTGTGTTGTGCAGGCTGAATCTGCTATCCATGTTTATCTGAGACATACCCTGTATTTTTAGGATTATTTGTTTGTTTGTTTGTTTGATTTTGTTTAACGTCCTATTAACAGCTAAGGTCATTTAAGGACGGCCTCCCCTGTGTGCAAGATGCGCATGCATGCGTGTAGTGTATGTGTGTGTATTTTGGGAGGCTGCAATATAGTTGTGTTTGTCTCCTTGTGATAGCGTGGAACTGATGCCGACTTTATAGTGCTACCTCACTGAAACATACTGCCGAAGACACCCAGCAGGACGCCCCACCGTGTCACATTATACTGACAACGGGCGGACCAGTCGTCCTACTCCTAGTTTGCTGAGCGTTAAGCAGGAGTTTTTAGGATTAAGCCATTTCTACTGTACTCTGATACCTATAAGTTTGACGCATCATGAAATTTGTTTTATGGAAGTTTGACTGTTTATACAATTGAAAACCAGTTTTAAGCTAAAGCATTTTCAGTTTATAATTACCTAGCTGTGGGATATATTGCTATTGTTTGTTCCATCAACTATTTCTTTAATGGCCAGTAGCTTGTAGTAAATTGGGGTTAAGGGTTATCAAGTTTAACTGAATTACCCAAAATTTGTAAAATCTTCAAACAATTTCTTCTTTTGAACCATGAGGCAAATAGTCATGATATTTGGCATGTAGTTNAAAAAAATAAGGAGAAAAAACAAGTATTTTACAGAAAATTAAAAAACCTTCATTATTTGTTTAAAACCCTCAGATGCCAGGATTTTGCATCTAGCTTTTAAAAAAAATTGGGGGAGGACCCCCATACCCCCCTCTTATTCAGGAGGGGGGGTACCCCCTCCCGAACCCACCCCCCACTCCTCGCTACGCTCGTCGACCGGGGCGCAAAGCGCCCCAGATCTGAGAATATTATTCAGGTCCACCAGAAATTAACCAGGTCCACCAGATTAAGAGAGCAGGTGGACCTGTGGTCCACCACCTATTAAAAGTTAGTGTCAACCCCTGCGTGTGTGGTACAGAATGTTGTATCGCATAGCTCCAGGGAAACTTCTTTTTGACTGGCATTCATTTTCTGTTATCCACTTTCAAATTTATGAATTGAAACATGAAAAAGTTCCCATTATTTAAGCACAATAATTATATACATATATACAAATTATGTACTTTTTATGTTTTGGTAATTGACATTACTTTCATCTTCAATGTCTTTTTGTTTCGTCATTAATTGATGTTCAGTTCTTGGCATGGAACTTGACATGAATCTGGGATAAATTTTATGAGTGCTTTATTATGTTGCAGAAATTATATGACATGCAGATAAAGAACAATGACATGTTTTGATCTTTATCTTATGTCGTAGACTTTACACTGTAAACCCGAATAGTCCACCCAATAAATCAGTGCTGCATCTGCAATGTCAGACAGACAGATGTAAAAAAAACACTGTCTTACTTTGAGCTAATTATAACAGTTATTCGCATTATAACTCTCTTAACCAAATTAGTAGGATTAAATCATTTACTAATTTCCTATAGAGAGGTTTAACAATATCTTTAACAGTTTTAAAGGTTCACCTCCTTGATAAACAAAATACACAGACGTTTAGATATGCGAAGCTCTCAGCTTAATTGCTGCTTTCAGCTGTCTTTAGTCGAGGGGACTATTGGTTTTATGTAATAGCTATATTTTCAATTATAGTATATATCAGTTCTATCTTCTTGCAATATGATGTATATGTACATGTAGTTGTTCTGTTTCACTGTGTCTTGATAAAGGAGCGGATCGCTAAACTTGTCCATACTGTTGGAATTACCAGTACTTATTTGCCCCCTTTATATATACAATGTATATATTGGGCAAAGAAGTGATTCCAACAGTGTGGACAAGTTTAGGTTGTCAAAGCATACGTTATACATATACAATGTATATATATACAGCTAATATTTATATTGCTGAAGCATGGAGAAACTGAAACCTGGGCAGTTACAATACTATTATTTGTTGTTACAGTGCTGACACTGAAACCTGGGCAGTTACAATACTATTATTTGTTGTTACAGTGCTGACACTGAAACCTTGACAGTTACAATACTATTATTTGTTGTTACAGTGCTGACACTGAAACCTGGAGAGTTACTATACTACAGTTGTGGTACCGCACAACGCACCAAAAATAGCGTGCGCACACCGTGCATACATCGTTCACACACCGTCCGCACATCGTCCACACATGGTGCGCACAACTGTGCGATTTAGCAATCATTCGCCCCGTTGTGCGCTTCTCTCCGCACAACTGTGCGATTTGGTATCATTTGTAGATCAAAATTACGGAATGACAAAAATACGGAAGGCTTTTGTGCAATAATGTACACTGTGTATATATCTGTAATTTCTCATCACAATAATCAAGATAATACAATTTCACCAGAGAGGTATAATACATTATTATATACGTCTCTGATTTCACAATGTAGGTTACACAGTATTACATGTACAGCGACCGTTAGGCTGTCAAGAATTGGTTTGGCTCCAAGGTAACAGAACAGGTAAATAACAATTTGATGAGTGTCCGGAGATTTACCTGACCAGTGCCTGACACACAGAGTTGATAAGTTTGACCGTAATGAATAGTGTTTGTTATTTGCATTCGTTTGCCTATAGCTCCCATTCACCAGGATTTTCACACCCCGGCCTTACCCGACGAGTTACGTAAGTGCCCCAGGCGGGGGGAAAACTACGGTCCAGGTACATGTATAAAGTGGTTATGTTTACCTGTATACGGGATTGTGTTGTAATTTTACATGTGTCCATTAAGTTTGTTTAAAAACCANTAGAGAGGTTTAACAATATCTTTAACAGTTTTAAAGGTTCACCTCCTTGATAAACAAAATACACAGACGTTTAGATATGCGAAGCTCTCAGCTTAATTGCTGCTTTCAGCTGTCTTTAGTCGAGGGGACTATTGGTTTTATGTAATAGCTATATTTTCAATTATAGTATATATCAGTTCTATCTTCTTGCAATATGATGTATATGTACATGTAGTTGTTCTGTTTCACTGTGTCTTGATAAAGGAGCGGATCGCTAAACTTGTCCATACTGTTGGAATTACCAGTACTTATTTGCCCCCTTTATATATACAATGTATATATTGGGCAAAGAAGTGATTCCAACAGTGTGGACAAGTTTAGGTTGTCAAAGCATANACACCGCACATCGTGTAACGTTGTGCGATCCCACAACTGTAGTATTTGTTGTTACAGTGCTGACACTGAAACCTGGACAGTTACAATACTATTATTTGTTGTTACAGTGGTGACACTGAAACCTGGACAGTTACAATACTATTATTTGTTGTTACAGTGCTGAAATAGAGAGAAGATACAAAGAGATAATGAGTCAGACAGGAATTCTCACAATGGAAGGACAGGTAGGTGAAGTGTGCTACAGCTCAATGTGCATTGCCTTGTGTGTGTAGAAGTGCAGGCAGTTTGAATTGGTTTACCTTGATTACCAGTACATAAATAATATCAGTCTATATGGTTTTCCATTACTTACTGGGATATAGTGTAAACCTACAAAGGTAATTTACATCAGAGGGATATTTTTTGTGACAGTATATTCAATACATTCCATTTTCCACTTAATCAACTTGTGTATATTTAAACACATTTTTTTTTCTCTTGAATAAAATAATCTAATTTATATGCATCAAGAACATTTTTAAGTTTGAGATAAATATATGTTCACTTTTTACGGATTCTATTTTGTGGTATTTAGTTATAATTTCACATCAATAGCATTTCCCATAATTTTCATTTCTGTTCCTGAAGATGAATAATTCATGTCACTTAAAAAAACTAATGTCACAGAGTAACGTTAACAAACTTGACACTGCTGTTTACAGTGCGATTTTATGGTACATTTGTATAACACAAAATATTACCCATGGGACAATCAGTTAATCAACATCTAAGATTATAATGCAAAAGTGCAAATTTAATTTGTCTGAAAATGTTATTCTTTGCATTGAGTAAATTAGCAAATTATTACAGATTACAGATATCTACTTAGTTTTCAGAACTTTAGCCAACCCAAACAAAATCCACATGATGATCAGTCGAGAGAGTCACAATGCCAACATTTTTAAGCATGCACAACCTTCTACTTCTACTATGAAAGTATGAACTGGTGCATAGTACAAGTAATATGTAGCTTCCTACTGATCTTTTAGATATATTAACTTTATTTATTTCACAATAATTATAAAACAAATTATTTCAACTTATATTAATCACCCTTGTTGGCCTGAATGTCAGCGTGCAGACGGTCTTAATGTGGGGAAAGGCGAGAATGTTATCCACTGCGCCAACCAGGTGTGACCACCCTTTTTTAGATATAGAATAGCCAGTTAAAGAACAAAAGCATTGCATCTTTATTTTTTGGATGAAATTGAAAAGATGTGCTATTAATTTGATTACATATGTCTGGTTCTATATTTCCTGTGAGTATTAAGCGTATGGAATAAGGTGTATTGCTTTCCAGCTTTTGCTATGCATTTGCTTTGTATTGGCTGTCATGTTCAATTAACTTCTTTTTTTTTTAAGAAATACCCAACAGAAATCAGTGATCTGGAACATTTAGGAGAACTTGGTCATGGGACGTGTGGCCATGTGGTGAAGATGAGACATAAGAGGACGAATCATCTGATGGCTGTCAAAGTATGTACAGGAACTAAAATATTCTCTTGAATGGGATAAATGTGTGATTTTCAAGTTAAATTTTACTGATTATATTTATACAAAGTCTTGGAATTAAGGGCTTCATGTTTGTGTCTGTTAAAAATTGCACATTTGAGGAAAGCATGGAATAAAAGATTTGTATTACAGGCAGACCATAGTACAGAACATTGGAGGAAAGTTATCAGAATTGTTTTATGTAAAACTTCAGTTAAATGAAATGATGTTTTCTGTGTGAAAATCAGATAGCAACACAGGTACTTTGCCTGCTCTAGATTGAGTTATCTCCCTTTGACCAGGCATATTGTGACGTTAATTTATTTACAATACAAAAAGACATAAAATTAATTTCCCACCATTTTAAAATGAACTTTTGCTGCTTCAAAAACATCTCAAGTTAATTATATCATAAAACTGCATCTGGCGCGAAACAACATTGCAAGATCCATAGATTTTTTTCCAAATAAAATGTACATACAAGTATAATATTAGCCCTTATTCAAGAACCACACAGCAAATGTACTCATTTTGTATTGGATAATAGAAGGGATATGGCAGGGCTAGAAATTAGTTTTAAATACCACCAATCAGTAAGTAGTTTCCAATTGTACTAGTCCATGTGCAAATTCCACTTACCCAGTGTTATTTAACAAGAAAGCAATACCAAATTTTGACTAGTCAATCGGGCTAGTGGTTTAAAAACCACTAGTCCAGCTGGAGATTTCACAAGTCTTAGACTATCAGGCTACCCTTATTTCTTTACTGAATATATATATATGGTCTCATAAGGTTGATGCTGACATTTGTATAACTTACCACCATGATCAATTTATTTATTAGTTCTGAGTTTTATTATCACTGACAATTTTGAAGGCTACGATTTCTTCACCGGTATTTATTGTTACGTATTTCATTTATTGTAGCAAATGAGAAGATCTGGAAACAAAGAAGAAAATAAAAGAATAATCATGGATTTAGACGTGGTCATTAAGTGTCACGATTATCCCTTTATAGTGCAATGTATTGGAACCTTTATTACTGATGTAAGTAATCAGGAGTTGATAGGTTAACTGGGAAGTTTTATCTGCAGTTTAATGTTCGCCTTTTTTGCCCATCGTTATAAGGGCAAATTCATCATGACATCAAATATTAGAACACAATTTGCCATATGTGGTAACTATATGTGAAAAGCAAAATTGGGCAAATATAGATTTTACAGGTGAAGGGCACATATTAGACTGGGTGATCGTTTCCTGGTACACAGTTTATTTCCCATCATTAACATGAAGGGTATCTGTTCTGTATTAAACTTATCTAATACAACGTAATCAAAAATTGTTTTTAGGTCACCTGAGCTTTGCTCAAGTGACCTATTCTAATCGCTTTCCATCGTGCGTCGTGCGTAAACTTTTTACATTTTCAACTTCTTCTCAAGAACCAGTGGATTGATTTTTTTCAAACTTGGTCAGAATCATCCTTGGTAGATGAGGCTACAAAATTGTAAAATTGGAATTCCTAGGGGCCCCAAAGGGAAAATTAACCAATATTTCAAAAATCTTCTCCAGACTCAGAGGTACTACAGTCATTTTCTCTGCATGGAATGAAAGATCATCAGGGGCTATACTTAAATTGTAAATTTCAGAACCCCCGAGCTATTCGTTCTCCCTTGGGGAGGGGGTAAAGTTTACTACTGTTTATATAGGGAAATAACACTTTTGGGTATATTTTGACAACTTTCTGTAGGAAATTAGTTTTACTTGGTGAGAATTATCCTTGGAGGAAGATGGTTTCAAATTGTAATATTGAGATTCCTACCCCAACCCCTGGGGCTATGGCGGGGCCCCCAAGGGAAAATTAACCAATGTTTCAAAAATCTTCTTCTCCAGACTCAGAGGTACTACATTCATTTTCTCTGCATGGATAGAAAATCATCAGGGGCTTTATTTAAATCGTAAATTTCGGGACCCCCGAGCTATCCGTTCTCCCTTGGGGAGGGGGTAAAGTTTACTATAGTTTATATAGGGAAATAACACTTTTGGGTATATTTTATCCATTTTCAGCAGAAAATTACTCAAACTTAGTCAGAATCATCTTTGGTGAATGAGAGTATTTCCTTGTAAAATTGGGATTCCTTCCCACTCCCCAGGGGCTAGGGCGGGGCCCCAAAGGGAACATTTACCAATATTTCCAAATTCTTATCCTTTGATGACATGACAAGTATTGTATTTCACTTAGTTTACATGCTGATTTCCACATCACAACTAAACAATAGAATAAAGCTACCAATACCTATGATATAACTCAGGTGACCGCTAAGGCCCTTGGGCCTCTTGTTTCTATTATAGTACATGGTTAATAACATTATGATTATGATTTCCCTTCTATTTTTAAATTGGAATTGCGAAAACAAACAAGTTAACAGCATAATAGGAAAGCATAGCAATGCATCCTTGCATAAACACTAAATTGTTAAGGTATTTTGGTACCTGAAATTTCTGTGTAACATTTTGGCAAGTTGGTGCTGAAGTGGATGTTGAATAACACTTATCAGTTGGTTCCTCTTCACCTACAAACTTTATACAATTAAGAACTATATAATATGTTTGATGTGATGTCTTTATCACTTCAGAGTGAAGTGTGGATCTGTATGGAACTCATGTCTACCTGTTTAGACAAACTCTTAAAGAGAACCAAAAGACCGATTCCAGAGGCAATTCTAGGAAAGATGGCTGTGGCGGTGAGTCTCAGATTTTGTATTGTATGCAAATTAAACAATGCTCTTTATCTGGCATGGTTAATATGGAAATTATTGCCACCTTTTTCAATGTTCGGATCTTACACTTTAATGTGTTGTATAGGAATCTGGTGAAATATTCTGTTTAAGTGGATTGATGTTACATTATAATTATGATTTATATTGGATTTTGGAAATATTTATATTAGATTTTGGAAATATTTATATATACTATTTAAAGATTGTGAAATCGTTTCTATATCCTTCTTATAGATTGTGAAAGCATTAAATTATCTGAAAGAAGAACATGGAGTCATACATAGAGGTAAGTATAGAGAGTTTGATATACATTTTACTGGAGAACCATTTCACTGGGGATGGTAAAATCAAACGGTTTTAAATTTTTACAGCAGTTATGAAACAAGTCTTTCAACTTCAATTAATCACTCTTGTTAGCCCGGAGGGTAGTGCGCTTGGGTCTTTGGATGTGGGAGAATACTTTTTCAAATCTGGTTGGGGAATCGAACCCAAGCAGTCTTGGTGAAAGGCAAGTGCACTATTATATCAACTGCACCACCCAACCACCATATTGATGGTCCTACCTAGGCTATAGGCATGTCATGGTGTTGAAATTTATAGTTTTTTATGACAACCCAATAAAAATTTACTTGTATAACTAATATTCTAATCATGTCATCTGCTGTATGTGACACATTAATTCAATAGAAGACAGCCTTAAAAATGTAACCTTTTGGTTTATCTGCCTGAAAGTTTTGTACTATATATCTGTCCCTAGCTAGACACCACATATATTTTATCTTGCACTTCTCTTCCTAAGATGTGAAGCCATCCAATATCCTGTTAGATGAGAGGGGTACTGTCAAGTTATGTGACTTTGGTATCAGTGGCCGCCTTGTAGACTCAAAGGCTAAGACGAGGAGTGCAGGATGTGCAGCTTACATGGCGGTAATTACATATTTAATGGTCGCAGACTTGTATTTGTAGACTAATAGTTATATAAAGTTTACATACTATTTTAAGTTTTTTTGTTCTCATTGAATTTGTTTTAAATTGATTTGTTTGATACCATGATTAACTCCTAAGACAAAGCTGTCCTTTGACCCATCTCGATGGGAAAATGTAAAGGTATATGTTCCTTTGTCCTCTTCCCTCCAGATTCTAAGGAGAGAGCATAAGAGTATAAAGTCTGGAGTACTTAATGTATAGCTATATATAATCCTTAGGCTCTGGTATGTGGATAATAGGAGAGTTATTGCCCTTGATTAACTTTAGCTTACAAAGCCATGTACAGTTCATAAAAATACTAATCCTAAAAGCATAAGACTGCAAATTTTTGTACCAATCATCATGCAAATTAAACAACCATACCTTTAAAACTTTTAGACCAACACTTTTGTACCTATTTAGATTTAACACAGTCTGACCTGATTTTGTATATTTTTAAGAGTTAATTCCAGTGTTTTTTGTTGTTTTTTTGCATGTGGATTTTCAACATTTCTCATATTTTGATCTGATATATTGTGTTATATTTTTCCAATGGAATATTTTTATCTGATTTAATGTGATTGATAATAATGTCCATCAGCAAAATGTCATATACATATAAATAGACATTCAACTTGTTTATTTCTTACCTAGCCTGAGCGGATAGACCCGCCTGACCCACTCAGACCAGACTATGACATCCGGGCAGACGTTTGGAGCCTGGGCATCACATTGGTATGTATCAGATCTCTACATTACTGTATATATGTCTAAATCAAATCTACTTGTATCCCGTGTCTGTAAAAACTTAATGAAATTATACTATTTTTGATATTGCATCTTATAATTTGTTTTATTATGTCTCCCCTTCGAATGAAGGGAGACATATTGTATTAGTACTGGTTCTTCTTCTTCTTCTACTTCTGGTTCTTCTTTATATCGCAACTTGTCCGGGCCATAAATTTTAAACCGTTAAAAGATATCTTGATGAATCTTAAGGTATACATGCATCACCCACAGAAGGTTGCAGTGCACTGGAATTAGGTCCTTGTGACCTTCACCTCAAGGTCAAAGGTCAATTAAGTGCACATTTCAGTAAAACCTTGTCCGGCCTGTAAATGTTATACCCGTGTAGATATCTTGATCAAACTTAAAGTATACCTGCATCACACAGAAAGTGTGCAGTGCACTGGAATTAGGTCTTGTGCCCCACTACATACAGAGTTATGGCCCTTTGTTTATGTTTAATACCAAAGTTTGTGAAATCAGGTCTCATGTCCATTTATATGTAGAGTTATGGTCCATGTTATTTCACCTACGTTATGTATCTCTGGACGAAGGAGTGTCGCATTCTAAATTTGAGTCTCATGCCCCACTATATAATGAGATATGGCCCTTTGTTAATTTTTGATACTGAAGTTTGTCTTTAAGCTAATAAGGGGAGACCCAAAAACACGTTTCTAGTTTATCGTGAATTTGTTCTATCTTTTGAAAAAATAATATTGTAATCATAAGTATCTGAAAGATTTATTGTTTTTAAATTAACACTGTTGCAGACATTTTCCTTTCTAAACTAAATGACTGATATAAGTATAATTCTGTAATTAAAAAATGAAAGGAATCAATGTTTTTTCAATTGATAATTTCCTCTTGATATTATTTTAAAATTCTGTTGGTTATGTGATGCTGTTTTATTTCAGGTTGAGCTGGCAACAGGAGAATTCCCCTATAAGAACTGTAAAACTGACTTTGAAGTATTAACAAAAGTCCTTCAAGAAGACCCACCTCTACTGCCCCCTTCAACGGAATTCTCACACGAGTTCTGTTCATTTGTTAGAGACTGGTATGTTTGGTATATGTTTATGAAATATATGAAAATATGAAAAGATTATGTAGATTATGAAGACTACAGAAATTTGAACTAGTTTCATGAAATAGTCAAATAGCTACATATTATACATAAACGATGTTAAAATCCTTTCCCATTTTATTTGATTATTAACCCACCATCATTAGATTGTGTTTCCTCCATCTATCCATTGTCCAACCATAAGAATTCTTGTTACATGTAATATAATCATAAATATTAGAAGGAAAACTATCCGATCAGTTCACCAAAATGGCAAATATGTGGTACAGTATTGAACAAGAAACTATTAGTAATCCTCTCATTGAATAAATTCACAAATTACTAAGTAAGACTACTGGTAATGAGTATCACAAGTTACTAAGTAAGACTACTGGTAATGCGTATCACAAGTTACTAAGTAAGACTACTGGTAATGCGTATCACAAGTTACTAAGTAAGACTACTGGTAATGCGTATCACAAGTTACTAAGTAAGACTACTGGTAATGTGCATCACAAAATGCCATTTAAGGTTTGTTATGTTTTACCTTTCAGTTTAACTAAAGATTATAAGAAGAGACCCAAGTACAAGAAACTAATTGAACACAAGTTCATTAAAAAATACGAGAAGGAGGAAGTAGATATAGCAGCTTGGTTCTCTGATGTAACTCTTTTAATGGCCGTCCAATGTAGGTCTTGATACAGGTAAGAAATCCTCTACGATATGTATAGTCCTCTGAACCTTTGTTTACAGGGCTTTGTAAGAAATGGCTAGTTTTGGTCTGCTGGGTAAGTGCATGTATAACACTACTTCTAGTTTGATGTTCCTAAGGAGGCTCCACCCTTTCACAATTAGCCAGCAGAATTCAATGAAAGATATGTCACTATGTAGAGATGTTTTTATGAAAATCTAAGCATTCCAATAAACTGGGGATTTTTTGTGTAAAAAATACTGAAAAATTGAATTTTTTGCAAATTTAACACTTTCACATTTTTTGAGTGTGTTACATTGTTCAAAACTATATCAACAACAATGAAATAATGAAAAGAAGCATTGCTAATCAACCCTACAAATATTTTATTTATCATAAAATATCTGCAACATGTTTCACCAAAACGTTTTTTATTGAAATTGTATGGATACATGTTACTATATACAAGCTAAAAGAAAACAGGACACATAGTTTTATACAAAAAGAGTGAAAATTTGAATCAGATACACACAAAGTCTTTATAATTCATTTATTTTACATTTTACAGTAATTTTGATCCTGATGAGTGTTGTCTACCTTGAATAAAATCTGAACTTTTACACAATGACAGTTATTTTCTTTACTGTACCAAATACGACAGAAATAAATTAAAATACTATATTAAATTGTCAATTTACTGTTCTTTTATGGAACAAAATTACTCTCAATCATGTACACTTTGGACATCATTCCATAACCCACTAACGCATGGTATATTTACATGTCGGGTACATATGTAACCATAGGCTATCACATGGTAAGCCGTTATTATGTGCACGCACATGCACTTGCATTTTAAAGTGATCTTGATATTTTACAAACCACTATTTTCACGGAGTTATTGTATTTGCATTTGTGAAATGATTTATCTGACAAGAGCTTAACTCACTCGTCAACAAAAGTCGTAGCAACTTATGAACTACTGTTAGCATATGATATGTACAGGCGAGGTCGGTACACAAAACACATCAGTTCATTCCATGCACCTCATATACGACCTTCTTGAAGTCGTCTTATCTTATGACTGTCTTCCTGTGAGTTAATTAATGTCTTTGTATCATATGCTTTATTAGCTCACCGGGTCCGAAGGACCAAGGTGAGCTTATGCCATAGCGTCCGTCCGTCCGTCCGTCCGTCCGTCCGTCTGTCCGGTGTCCGTCAACAATTTCTTTAAATGACTTCTTCTTCTTAACCACTGATTGGAATTTAACTATATTGCCTTAAGCGACATCTCCTCTGGAACTAAGAGATAGATATCAACCATATTTAACTGGAAGCATCCCTAGGTGGTGGGGATTCAAAATTGTACAAATGGTGGGGCTGACCCCCCGGGCTAAGGGGTGGGGCCAAAACAAATGTATTACTTGGAAATGGTTGAGATCCCCACTATATAACCATATATATAATTGCTGAGTATAAAGAGAGGAATGCACATTTGCTTCCAGGATGGTCCTAGGGTCTGGCCCCACCCTTGGAGACTTAACTCCTGGGCCATAACTTTGAAACGGTTAAGATCCCCACCCCAAAACTATATATACAATTGTTGGGCATAAAGAGACGAATGCAGTCATGATATTAGAATTGACCCCAGGGTCTGCCCAACCCTTGCAGACATAACCCCTTGGTCATAACTTTGAAACGATTGAGATCCCCAACCCAAAACTATATATACAAACGCTGGGCAAAAAGAGACAAATGCAGTCATGATATTAGAATTGATCCTGGGGTCTGGCCACAACCCTAGAGACCTAGTTTCTGAGTCACAGCTTGGAAACAGTTGAGATCCCCCCCCCAAAACCATACATAAAATTGCTGGGCATAAAAAAATCAAATACAGATATGCTACAAGGATTGACCTTGGGGTCTGGCATATTCCCTTGGATCTCATTCGGAGAATATTTTGCCATGATTGCTTAGATATCCAGGTGAGCGATACAGGCCCTCTGGGCCTCTTGTTTCTGAAGTACGTGTGATTACACATTTCCAAGTGAAGTGTTGATATCGGGTGTTCTCATATCATTGTCACTACCTGCCACTCAACTATTTTATTTACTATTTCAGCTGCAGATGGACAGAGACTAAAGTAAGCTCTGTTTAGGTCCTTGGGACAATGCTGGTCACCGGTCACCACAGCTTAAATCCTTGGGACAATGCTGGTCATTGGTCAGCACAGCTTGAATCCTTGAAACAATGCTGGTCACTGGTTTGCATAGCTCAAACCTTTGGAATGTTGGAAGCTGGTCAGTACTGTATAAATACTTTAAAAAATGTTGACCACTGGCTAGCTCAGTTTAGTTCCTAGGGCCATTGCTCCATACTGGTCAGTTCTGTGTAGATCCTGGGAAGCCATGCTTGAGACTGGTCAGTCCAGACCCTCAGGACATTGTTGGGCAGATCTCAGTACCTGAGAGGTCTTTGTGTTGGATACAGGTCAGTACTATAGAGATCCTTTGAATAATGATGGTCACTGATCAGTACTATATAGACGCTTATGACCACTGGTAAGCACACTTTTGATCCTCAGGACAATGCTGGACATTACTGAACAATGGCCAGCCTACACATCCAATCATAACACTGTGTGCTGCTCAAAGGAAATCAAAGACTTCATCACTCATCGTAAAACCCAGGATTTGACGGGAACACCACTCGATATTGTGTTTAAATTGATGTGCTTCTACATATTGACTTTGATTGTGATATCGATTGTGCGATATTTTTAATCTAAGTCATTTCAGAAAATGTTTAAATATTTTTTAGCACACCTGTGAGCTATTGCCGTCCGTCTGCACCCATCGTGTGTCATCTGTCGTCCATCTTCACCCATTCTGCATCATCCACTATCAGTTGTGCGTAAACTCGATAATTATAGCTACCTCTCTGAAATCACCAAATTGATTTCAACTAAATGTGGTAAGAAGTATTAGGTTAAGGGGATCAAAGCTTCCTCAATAGGTACACTTACCCCACATAGAGGCTCAGGATCAAAATGGTTAATTATAGACAATTTTCTCCCCAGTATCTAGAAAAAGCAGAATTCAGCTGCTGGAGTTGTAGGAACATCCGGCCACAATGAATAGGAAGTTTCCTCATGTCTTTTCTCTCAAACCCATAATGAGGCTTCACCAAGTGCTCAACCATTACCTAGGATTTTAAAGAGAAAAGCTAAGAATGCTTCTTCTGGGAAAGAACTGAATAGATTCTAACCAAAAATTTATTTAGGATAAGGGCATTCCTAATTTAGTGCCCCTGCCTTTTAATGAGGTAACCTACTGTCTAGGGGCATGTAATGAAGTGATACATTTTCCTCATATCAAGTCCCCTTCCAACTCCTACCAACTACTTCACGGACCGCACCAAGGTTTCAGTTATAAAGAACAAATTGACTTTTTTTCTACAGAAAGTTCGGAATATGTTTTAAATTTGGTGTAAATAATTCTTTTAACAAAGGGCTATCGTTTATGTCAGTGTATTGACCTAATACATTTGACCCCAAATGTGACACTACCAAGGTGGCAAAACATGCATGGGTACCGGACAAATATTAATAAATGTTTGCAAGATAAGGTCAAAGCCATCTTGGATGTCTTTTTTCAACCTTAAACACCTTTACTAAAATTCTACTAAGCTACACTATTTCATGGCGGTGAGCATTAAGACCCATGGGAAATCCTCTTGTGGTTTTTTATGTGAAGCTTTACCTGTAAAAAAAAAAAAAGACATTTAAAACATGTCGACAGTGATGAAGATTACAGTAATAATGAAAGAGGTAAACAAATTTTCATTCAATGGATTTTTTCCGAGTGGATACAATGGTGGTATATTTCATCACATCAAACAGGGAAAACAAACACTTTCATTTCTGTTAAGATATTTTCATATGTATAACCTGACGTCATTTCTGTGAAATTGCTTGGCAATATCTATAAATGACAGATTGTGTAGCCATGTTTGCCTGTTAAAGTTAAGACTAAAAACAAGGTTTCCCTGTTTACACTATGGTGGATACTTCAATGTATTTCATCATTCACTGTATTATTTAGACTCTCAAAAGGACTAGGGCATTAAAGGTCCTTTTCAGCCTCATACAGGATTTTGAATTAGTTGTTATATTCATAATCTAGAATAAATGAAGTATGCAAATACAGTATGCAATTTCAAAATTCATGCGACAACTGGTTTAGGAGATATGGCATTACAAAGAGAGACTTAAACCTGTATTTTCATAAGAAAAATGTGTGAATATCGTCTGTTATGTGCTATTTGGTTGAAAATATGCCATTTTGAAGGAAATTAATTAAACACTGTTCAATTTTTGAAAGCCTCTGCATGCAACTAACAACAAAATATTTGACATGCTTAAACATTGCCATACTAGTGTTCATTTGTAGAAATTAAGTTTTGTTTGTCACATGCCAAGGCTTCCATTTTTGCTTGCTAACTGTCTAAAAACACCATGTTTTGGCTATTTCTGCATAGTGACGCGATTTCGTTGCTATGGCAGGGCATCTACGCATTTTCATTGGGAAAAATCTGCACCAAGAAAGATAGCCCAAATTAACCAATATGATTGTTTATAACAGAAATCGGTATATGAATCAAAGTTAAATTTTCCCCTTTTTATGAGGCAAAAAATTACCCATAACGCCCCAAGTCCTTTGTTCAACGTTTTCATTAGTCACTGTAAGTCCTATTAGCAGATATCTTTTGTAAGAAAAATATTCTGTGTCTCAAAAGTTAACTTCCTGTCAATATGCATGCAATATTGTGATCAACTGCACTGTGTGAGTAAGTCTTATCAACATGACTGTGCTTCAGAAACGTGAATTGTGATATATGGTAACTAGTACCAGTACATCTCACAACCATGTATTGATCTGTATTGGGTATACAACTATTTTTCTGATATATTTATTAAAATGGAATACTAATCAGGTTCATGAAATTTGTTGACACCTCTGTTGTGGTCTTTTATTTAATTTGTTAAATTCCACAGTCATGTAAATGTTGAAATGATTACATATAAAAAGTGTTACTTTCTTCATCTTTTTAACAGCTATGCTAAAATCTCTCAGTGGTAAAGGTAGTGTGAGTTTTAGATCAGTTATCTGAAATAGTTATATCAGCAATAAAACAAGGCCTTAAGCACTCTGAGTGCTAGTCTGATGATTAGACTTACTCATCCCCAAAGTCCAAAGGATCCGCCTTCCATATCAAATATCTTTTCTGCATCCTGTTCCTGTACACCCCACCAAGTTGACAATACAAGTTGGCAAGTCCTGCTGATCTGTAATTTCAAAATAGTGCTTTGAAGATAAAAGTAAATCAAGCAAAAGTTTGATGTTTAAATTTACCAACTTGGATTCTGAGTAGCATTTTCATAATCTTTTACATACAGGTACAATTGTCTATCAGCATTGTGATTGGTCAGGTTTTAATTTCTTGAACCAGTCAAATACCTAATCATGATATTGTGAACTTGTGCAGAGTAGATATGTGATATTAAGACCAGATCTTTTGCATTTTTAAGATGAGATTCACTCGATAAATAAGGATTTCCAACCAAATCGATGTCGGTTTTAATGTTGTCAATTTGTACCTATTTTACGTCTCGGTGTACCTATACTTTACCTGTCAGATGAAGGTGCCTAGTTGTCGATCATGCCACACATTAACACTTCAATGTTTGTGCTAGATGAACCTGTATACAAAGTGATTCCTTTCTGTACAATATAAATGTTTAAGCTGTTCAAAACGTATTTAATTAACCTAATGACAACAGACTCAAGGTCTTCTGCTAATTTCAAAACAATAAATAGTACAAAACACCATAGGAAAGTGTGAAAGCCATCATATACTAGTGAACTCTTAAGACTTGATGTCATTATTAGGGATTTTTTTACAGCTTTAATCAGAATCTTAACCTCATAATGTTCAGTTCTAATTACTTTCTTCCACTGTGTATAATTACTTGAACTGTATTTTTTTCTAACCTATTTACCTGAAAAAAAGTTGTTTTACTCCCTATAGCAACCAACCAAGTAAAAAACGACTTTGCCCTGTCAACAAGATGATGGAAAAGAGAGTTACTTAATATTAGACAGTGATGAAGAGAGTGGCTTTAATCTGTATGGTATATGTATGCTTGACTACAACACTTTTTACAGATTTTAACCATCAGTTTCTGTTGAAGTAGGCAAAATTGTGAGCCATATTCTGTACAGTAATGCATTTTTTATTTATTTTAGTGGGTTTTTTCAATTTAAACTTTCAATAGTTTAACAATTTGTTGTACACTAACACTATTTGGCTTCAGTATGACTGCAGTGAAAAGTCTGAAACTTAACGGTGAAGCTCAAATTAAAAGTTTTTGTTATAAAAAAAAAAAAATTAATTTCAATATAAATAAAACTCCAATGTTTTGGTGAAAGCTTTCAGGTCAGCTAGCATTACCTGTATGTACTAATTTAGTATAAATACATCATCACTAATGTTAAACCGTATCAACTTGAGATATCAGAGGGGAAACATTTTAAATCAGATTTCATAATGTGGCTTACACATCGAACAGTTTAGCCAAGATATAGGTCAGGATATAATGAATTGGACAAAAATACATGCCATATTTATCAAATCAATAATTCCTTGTGTTGTGCTTTTTTGTTGGATTGTCTATTTATGATACATATGTATGTCCATGGGTCTGTGGTGGGATTGATGTGACCATAGTGTTATTTGCATATATATGAATCTTTAAGGAAGACATAGGGTTCAGAGGTTAAATCAATAATCTCTTTTCATTGAGCAATAATATATGTTTTAGCTGTTCTCTAGAATAATAACATGGTAAGAGTATCGGATGTTTTAATCAGTCTTTTTACTACATTAATTTTTAATATAACATCTACTTCCAAATCTCAACTTTCATTTATTTGATTTTATCTTTGTTCAGTGATTGCATCAAGATTATTACAAAATGAACTTACACTTCTCTGAATAAGTCCCAGTCTGTTAGGTTTCAATGTATGTAATCAGTTTTGAGTCAAAAATAAAATGTTTAATTACAATTACGTTTGAATATAACTAAATACACACATAAACATTAATATGACCTAAGTACTGACTTCCTTAAGTTGACTTTCACCGTACACTTGATGCCATATCCAAAAGATGAATCAAAACTATGGTATTTCAACATGGGTCAGTTACTGGTTAATATGCAGTTTTAATTATTTTACTTTTTTTTTTTTTTTTAATTTGAACCATAGGTAGCTAGCTATACCAATAGGAGAAACGTACTAATGTTACAAATATTAAGAAAACATAAGTGATATTTTTTCTCTTTAAGATAGATACCTATGCATGGACCTGTTTATTTGCACAAACTTTTTTCTTAAATAATTAAACTTTTTTTTTTCATACAACATATTAAGCAAATTGATCAGATTTCAAGACACCTGATGCTATCTTAATTTGATTGATATTATTTCTGAGGCTTCAGAAGTGTAAACCATGAAAATATGAAAACGTATAAACTCGTTTAAAATCTAAGAAGTACATATGCATGTTATGATTTATATGGAAAGTGATCTGCTTTAGTAAGTAAACTGTATTTGTATTAAGCATGAGGTATACAAGTTAGTAAAGAAGACTACCATATCTTGTAATTTCACTTTTTCAGACAAAAATTACAGTAAAAATGTGTGTACCAATGTACCATAATAATTGAGAAAATAGAGCAAAACATATTTGTATTAACATATGATGAAAGAAGAAATAAAACAAGTGTATATGATTTGCATGCATATATACATTACGATACACCAACAAGCTACTCGGACTACTACGTACCGTGACAGTAACCATATCAAACAGCCTATACCTCTACTGATGTGAAATCTCTTTGGTGAATACATTAAATGCTTTTCATAAATTTTAAAAGTAAAGAAATCCCTTTTTTCATTAAGTCAATAAAAAATTTTATAAAGGATTTAAAAAAAAAATGATATATTGGGGAAAAAAGACAAAACTTATCTTTTTTGAATATCTATGAAGAACAAAAATGAAGTTCTTTTATACATTAATTTATAAACAAATAACATCATCCTACAAAATGTTTGTAATACAGTATTTTCCGACATTGTAATGCTATGTTTCAATGTAAATTAACAAAGAAATTGGTCACTCAAACACACTTTTATATATGCGAGACACACAAATATGGATAATATATTTAACTGCAAGGTCCAATAGGTCTGCAAAATTAGAAAGTTTGCTGCATGATATTTTCTTATTTTGATTATGACTTTGTATTTTATAAATATTTAAAGTAATGGCATTGTTGTTGGGCCAGACAAGGCATTCATTTCCAAATATCATAATGCAATGCTATTTAAAAGTACACCTGCTTGAGACCATTGATATACACACGTCGCCAGAGAATTATTCTTTAAATATAAAATAAAAAATACTGTAACATTGACCAAACTTTAAATTAACCTAGGTCTTTAATGTACTAGACTTGCAACAGCTGAGTAACATATTTCATCAACACATTTTGATGTACTCTACTCCAAACTGAAGGTAACACATTTTGGTGCACTGTACTCCAAACTGAAGGTAACACATTTTGATCTTGTACCTTTAACCGTACTTGTTCTTAATTCATTAGATTTCCTATCATGTCTCCCAACACCAATACGACATTTCTGAAAAGAT